AATTTAGAATGCATATTAAAAAAATCTGTTCTATTCTGCTCTTGATTTCTTCACTTCTACTGGCTGTTTCAGTCACCCAACCTCAACTCTCTCAGTACCTCACTTACTTAGTTCAGTAGCTCAGAGTAACCAAAATTCCTAGCTTGCAGATCAATCCAGCCAGYTTTGGTCTGCAGAGAGCATCTGAAGTGAGGGAAATGCTGTACCAGTGCAAATATTTGAGGTGTGTTTTTTGCTCCTTTACTTGCAGAAGCATGTCTTGGACCTGAGCCCGTCCTGCTGTAGCTGCTTGTGCCATGACAAAGGGGACACCTTGCACCAAAAGCAAAGAGAAGGTGAGTTTCTGTCTGTTCTGAGCTGCACACCCACAATGGGCTCAGTGTATTTTCACCCGGGCTCATGCCCAGGGACTGTGCAGTCCATGCAGTGATCTGTCATGTCYGAGGTGCTCTGCTGCTGGGCAGGGACTGGTGTGTGTGTGGGAGGTGATTTGCATGCCCTGCCTGGGTGGAATTTAGGGCATTTTGCAGTCCTGGGGATGCCTGGTAGGTGGATACCTAATAGTGTGTGTGTAGAAGGTAAAGGGAATGGGATAAAACCGTGTAACACAATACACGGTGTGTATGACTCCATCACCTGCCCCAGACATAGCACTTCTCTAAGGAAGGCTCCTAAGTCATGAACATGGCTATCACCAGTCATGGGACTTAATGTGTTTTGGCTTCTCTGCCTGCTTTGGAGTTTTTCCCCCTTGCTTTTATAGTTGGTAATTGAGCTTGTGCTAGGGGATGGTTTTAAAGGAGTTGTTACCTCAAAAATGTTTTTGGATGTCTTTGGAGAAGGTTGTTGATACAGTGGGTTGCATGATACAGTGTTTCCAACTCTATTTTGAAGTTCATTAAAGTACATATTTCCCTTTCCTTACTTCCCAGACCTTTTTGGCAGGAAAGCACTTGTATACAAATGGTTATGGTTGCAGGTACAGAGAATACCCTGAACTATCCAGAGGAGCTGTAAAGGATCAGTAGGAGCTTGAAAACATCAGATTTTGATGTGAATGAGGGTGAGGGGATTCCTTTGACATTATGGTAAACAAACATAGTGTATTGCTAGATAACCTGTCAATATCTGGGCAGYACAGCTTCGTGGAAGGTGACAGTCTTGTTACCTTACAAAAATATAGGGTTACATTCTGAAATGTTGCCAGTTCTGGACATGGATAGCTTTGGAGATGTTTGTTGGTTTTTTGTGTTTGTATACATATATTTGAATGTAATAATGTATAATGAATTTGACTTCCTCCAYATTTTTTTCAATGATTTTTCTTTGGGGGCATGGAGCAAAGAGAGATTACTTGACAAAAAGCAATTTCATTTTGTGGTGATAAATGCATATTACAGAAGTTCTGTATTCAGTATGACCAAGTTTATGTTAAAACTAGTTGATGAAAACTGTTCTTAAGAAAAACACCGGTAAGGAATGTTGTAGGAAATTAGGAGGAATGTATGTTTTTGACTTTTGAGAGACAGAGACTTGAAGTAGAAATAAAAACTGTCTAAATGTAAGCAGTCAATATAAATAAAAATCTGAAAACTCATAGAATTGTAATAAGCTGTATTAATGACATCTCTTATTAACTGGAATGRCAGCCTATCTGTAATTACTTTGGCRTTTCTTAGTATTAAAAAAAGTAATGGCATTTCTTAGTAAAAGTGTCCTTGTGGAATATAAAAATACCTTTAGGGAATCAAAGTAAGATTTCAGTGATGGCCCCAAGAGACACAACYTGAGCTACAGACTTTTGCCAGCAATATCTGGCAAAAATTTTTGGTGTCTTGGAGTAAATAATGGAATAAATGCATAGAGGAGAATATATTTAGGGGTTTTTTTTGTAATAAAAATGAGCTGTGCCCCAAGGCGGTGGAGGAAAAGAGGAGAGAAAGTAAATAAAATGTGAGATACTTAAAATCAAAGGTCACTTCAGAAACAATGACATAATAGAAAGCTGTTTCTATTGTGGAGAGAGAATAGCTGTTTTAAGGGAATTGTCTATTTTAAAGTGTGTAAAACTGACATCTAGTGGTAGCAAGAGCACTTTGTGTGTGATGTGGCTTTATAATGAGACCAGCTTGCATGGCAAATTGCACTTATTGTACTATATTGCACACTAATATTGCAATTGTTGCTTCTTTAGCTGGGTGTTACCGAGCATTTCACACTAAATCTTGCTCCTTTTAGTAATACCTCACTTAGGTAATGCCAGGTGGTGGGTCGTCTTTACGAATGCATGGCCTCTTGCTAGAGAACTGAGAGAGTTTCATTAGTGGGGAAAAGTTTGAAAGGTTCATGAAAGTTAAAAAAAGATGAGTGTAAGAGTTACAGAATTTCATTAGTGTCACTTGGGAAACCTCTTGGCAGCTGCCAATTTTGCACCTCTTATGAACAAACAGAAGCCCAGCCTCAGAGCTCTGATGTCTTTCTCAGGTGTGGCACTGCTCACAAGCTCCCCTCTGGGAGGGGGGGGCAGGACTTTATGGCCAAAACTGAGATCTCACGTGAATTCAGGCAYGATATGTGGGCTCTGAATTGATAAAGTGCATAGACATGTGCTGAAATCATTCCCAGGTTCATGGCTAACATATTCATATCTCATTCTTATTTTTTTTTAAAGGGTATTTAAAAATATTTTTATTTTCTGTTTTGTCTAGCTTGTGATTTTAGTGTCTTTGAAGAAAAAATCCCTTGCTAAAACTCTGCATGATACTTGCCCCACTGAGGCTTTAAATTTATTTTTGCCTCCAGTGCCACTATATACATAATGTATAAATTACTAATAATGAGCAAAGATATGCAAAAGTGAAATATCAATTATTTTTAAAATTTTTTTGAAATCATGGGTTAGTGGCATCATACCTATAGTCAAAGAGTACAATTTAAAATTAACATAGAAAAATATAAAAACACCATTCAAATCTATCTTCCAGATAATAAAATGAAAGAGATCAGCAATAGATCACTGGGTGAAGAAAAAGGCAAATCTGAAGGAAGAAGAGAAAGGAAGTGTTCTTCAGTTGAAGTGTAATTAGAAGTCAGGGGAAAAAAATAATAGATTTTTTTTTCTGGGTTAGCAGCTTGTAGCAAGAATTGTCAACCATATTAGTCAATTTTTGTCTGTWAGCATTTGTTTTACAGTCTTCTCTGTTCATAGTAACTGTTGCAAATATCTCAGTTAAAAAATATCGGTAGCATAATTCTAATGAGAGATAGCTCTGTGCAGTTTCAAGGCTGTGGTGAATCATATGCTGCCTCTATCATTCCATCTAGGTTACTTTCAAAACATGGTGAATCATATTTGTTGAACACAAATGTTGACATTGTGCAGTGAGACTCCAGTCACAGTTGTAGAAGTGGTATAAGAAACAGCAGCTGTCATTTCAGATAGCGAGCCTGCTGCTTCAGTGGGAAGCAGGGCTGAGCAGCAATCCTGTTTGCTGCAGAGCTGCTCTCTGAGGACAAGATTAGTTGTTAACAGTTGTGCCAGCCAAAGCTGGGGGATGCAATCTTATCTGTCCTGAACCTGGTAATCCAGTGCAGGTGCTTASCAGTTCTAATATGCTTTTGACCTTTTGGGTCTGAGTGGGAACACTTGCCATGACATGAAGCCAATTGCTGTGTGCAGAGTCACTCTGGCTTTGTCTGCACTCCTTGGGGCTTCTCCTTACCCCTTGGACACTGATACCTTTCCAAAGTTGTGGAAGCATAAGTCATGCTAGTAGCACCAGAGCTGTTAATATACATGAGATCTCTGAGATTTCAGAGCAGCTCTCTCTGCATTTGGCTTGTGGAAGATCATGCACAGTACAAATGGAGTTATTGCTAACAGTGTTGGTAGCAAGGGAATATATTCAGGATGTGCCTGCTGTAAATAGGACTACTGGGTTTGGGTTTCTTGGGCCATTGTGGATTTGTCATCCATCATAGAATTTTGCTGTTATTTTGTCCTCAGGCTTGCTTGTAGTTAAAAAACTGCCCATCTAATATTGTGCTGCTGAGAGCTGTGTTCAGCATGTTATGGGAGTTTGAGATCTAGATGTTCCCCTTGCTGGAAGGAACAGTGGAGTACTTTGCATTCTTTAGGACAGCTGGAATTGCTTTACTGCATTGATTGAGATCTGTCTGTGCTATTGCTGCTCGAACAATTCAAATCAAGACCAAGGGGTTTTTGTAAATATTTGATTAGGTTTAATAYGCTGTATGGTTCTGAGGAATCTGTACTGCCTCACCTACCACATTTTTTTAAACTATTGAGATATTAGAAACCTGTTTTTTCCTCAGTGAAGGATGTTTTCCTTCAATAGTAGCTCAGCAAGCCCCTGTGGTTTGCATTGTTCTGAGGAAAGTGCCCATTGCCATAATAGCAYCTCACATTGAGAATAACCAGTTTTGCTTTGAAAGAGCTCAGTGAAACATTAAACTAGGTGACCCTTTATTCTTATATGTGCTCTGGGTGGGTTCACCTGTGATTTATTCGTTTATAACCTAAAGTTTCCAACCTATTGTACACCCCMGGAGCTGTTTGTTCAAACGTGACTCTCCAAGACTTTTTGAACCTGTCTTATTCAATCTCACATGAGGAATGAATTGTCTTCCTCTTGAAAGCTGGCTGCAGAAATGGCCTTGTTCTAAGRCAGTAAGGCTTGATTTGCAACCTAAATCTGTTTATATAGTGCATACAATGGAAAAGTTCATGTTGTTTTTCCTAGAACATGATGTCCCCATTAGTCTTAGGCTGACCTGATGGAGAGATGAGGCGTTTCCAAGGTTCTTTCAAAAATTATGCTGTCTTCCTCACTGACAGTGTAATGTTCAGTGGGCCAAGCTCTCTATTTGCATGTCTTTATTGAAAGGACATTTACTGGGACACAGAAAATAAAACCACTTCCCTATCTTTGCACCACTATATGCTTAAGCAAATTGAGCTTTCATGTTTGAAAAAGGAAGCAAGTTACCACATAGAGAAATAACAACTGTGACCAGCAGAAATTTAGCCTCAGCAAAAAGCAGCAGAGCCTCTGCTGATGCAGGCTGGAAGATTAGGAAGTCTGATTTCTTGTTGTGAAAAAACAGAATTCAAAAGAGCCAGCTGAAATTCTTCTAGCAGAATAATTTATCTCTAAAAATGCTTCATCAATTAAAACAAATTATTTTGCAGGGCTTCTTTCACTTCATTGCTGATTAAGAATCCATTAAAATTGGTATGGTTGAATCAATTTTCTTTTTTTTTGATACAAGGTAAAAGACCCAAATGAAGCATGTAAGCATTACTGCCTTAGTG